GACTGTGGTGTGCCTGACCCTAACTGTGATATTTTCAATGGCCTCATTGCACATTGAATAAGAAAGATTGAAGAAAAATTGATGCATTGGAATGTTGGTGCTGGAGAAGACTACTGAAAGACCAGGGGCTGCAAAAAGGACAAACAAACCTATTTTGGAAGAAGTAAGGGCAGACTACTCCTTAGGAGCAAGGATGGTAAGACTGCATCTTACATACTTTGGGCATGTTGTTGAGAAAAACCAGACCCTGGCGAAGGACATTGTGCTTGGTAAAGTGGAGCGCCAGAGAACAAGTGGAAGGCCTTACATGCATTTTATTTGGAATAAACTCATTCCTATATGGACTGGATCCCTAGTAAAAATATTTTTGGACTTCCCCTCATATCTATGACAGCAGTAGTAGGGAATTAAGACAATCACCAATGACCTCTTCCAAAGAAGGAGTCACAGTAACCTGTGCTATCTCAGATCGGAGCCCATTTGATTTCCCCAACTTCTCAGATTCCAAACACAGGCATCGCAATAACCTGAGGGCATTCTGTAGAAACCAGAATCCCAGCCTCTGGAGTTGGCTGGTGATGGGATTTCACCAGCTCCTAGAGAATAAACTCTAGGTTTTGCTAGAGAGAACAAACTCCCCTCAGATGCTCAATTGAAAAACGATGCCTGAAGGGCAATGTAACCGAGAAGAAATCCTAAAACCCAAATGAAGGCAGAACATGATAGTGGGACAAGAGGAAAGTACAAAGAAATAGAGGAAAGAACTAGGAGGCAAAGGGTAGTCATAGAGATTTAAATAAGGCATATAAAGATGTAAATATATTTATATATGATGAGGGGAAAATAGATCTATGTACATATATTTATAGGTTGAATATTAAGAAAACAGATGGACAGTGGGCCCCAGCACAAGTACTACCTCAACACAAGAACACTTTGTTCTAATAATTCGGAAGTCTGAGATGCTTACCTTCCTGGCATGATCTCTGAAGACAATGGGTGCATAAGCAAATGTGGTGAAGAAAGCTGATGTACCCAGCTACCAAAAGATATAGCACCTGAAGTTGCTGAAGACAATGGGTGCACAAGCAAATGTGGTGAAGAAAGCTGATGGTGCCCAGTTACCAAAAGATATAGCACCTGAAGTCTTAAAGACCTGAAGATAAACAAGCAGCCATCTAGCTGAGAGACAATAAAACCACATGGAAGAAGCACACCAGCCTGTCCCGACTCAGTGGCTGAGGACAAAGTGGGTGCATAAGCAAAAGTGGTGAAGAAAGCTGATGGTGCCC